GTAGTCAACGCAAGTTTATCTCTGTTCACTTTAAAATGGCAAGGAAAGTCACTGTAAGTAAATTCAATTGAGTGTTTTGAAGTTGTGAGAGTTTGTTTAATTGTTTGTAGCTTGGCGCTGTACTGGCGCGTAATCCTGTGTTTCTCTCGTCGTAAAATTTGAGTCAATTTCAGTCGAGTTTACCTCTCTGATCGTTGCTGTATTTAGAAACATTTCTGTGGAATACACTTAAAGAATTTCCCCGCTTTCTGTTATTCAATTTACGGTAGAAAAGTGACGAAGTGATTTTAAAAGCAACGACTGACAGAAATTGTTTTTGTAGTAAAACTTCACGCTTCGCACGAAATTGCACACCGCAAAAACAATTTTGGAGAACTAACTGGTGAAATAAATGCAACTAACACAAAGTAGTTCGAAAAAAATCTGTTTTTTAATACATCTTTATATGTCTACTATCTGAGTTACTCGCTCGTTGCCGAGATTTTTTACAAATCGTTAGTAGACGGCGCGCAAGCCGATTCAATGACAAGAGCTGCATAAACAAACCCATTTGTAATCTGTAATTTAAGCAATTTACTGCAGGAAAAAAATATAATAAACGTGTTATTTGCCGGCTTACGGTCGGTCCGTACGGTGAAAAACTGTGACCTCGGTCACAGTTTTTCACCATACGGACCTCCCAGCCGGCAAATAACATATATGTATTCGGAAAACAATGCCTTCCGTGCAGGCTCATCTCTCGCAACTTTGCCTATCGACTTTGCTCCTGCTGAAACAAATAAGAAGCGCAGAAAGGATGGAATGCCGGACGGCTTTAACCAATCGTATCATCACGGCCACATTCCACTCCAGGTTCATTAAGACATCGGTAATTCAGATTAACACACTGAAAAAATGATGCCGATGAGGAAGCCAAAAGAAAATTCTACAATCAATTCAAAAGGGATGGATGGTGTGCCAAGGCACGATCTGGAGATTGTTATAGGAGACTAGAAGACAAAGATAGGCAGAACGAGAGAAGGTGAGATGAGAATTGTTAGGAACCATGCACAAATAGGAGAAAAATGAGAGTGGAGGAAGACTTGTGACATACTGAGCAACAAACAGTATTGTAATAACCACAATGTTCCTTCACAAAAACATCAACAAATGTACTTGGACAAACTTCGATGGAAGGTACCACAACCAGGGTGTCAGTGACTACAACCTAATGTTTTTATATTGTGACTGAATTGAGATTATGCTGGCTGAAAGGCAAACTGAGGAAAAATGAAGTGCTGTGGATAAAGAAACTAAGCTCCAAGTAACACAGGGGAGACATTACTGAACTGAGGAACAGAAACGTTTCCTTAAAAGGCGACCGAGATACAGACAGCAACGATGACGATAATGAGATCTACAAAGAACACATGGATAGACTTCAGTGACTTTCAATCTGTACTACCAACAACAAGAAACTGACCCTCTTTCCATTGAGGAATCCCTGTTGTATTAACATTTCTGAGAGTAGCAAGCTGGCTAAGATTAGTTTTGACCTGAAAATGAATTTTCTCTACTTTCGTCCATCAGGGTACATTTAACGAATAGGTACATTTAATGAGTAGGCAAATTAGGCGAAACCGCAAATCACATTTTGCATACACACCAACAGTTCAATCGGTAGCAGATGTCCCCATTACAACTAAATGCAAAGCATCTTATTGATGATCTCGAAATAAACATTAAGTGCCAATCTCAGATTACTACATCGTTCAATACGTTTATACCATTGATAAGAACGCAGGTGAAAAATGTAATTCTTCCAGTACAACGTCTGTTTGCATATTATAGACCCTGGAGGCATAGAGTAAGAATGCATCCATGTAATAAAATCACTCTACAATAAAGTTCGTACCTCTCAACTTCTTGGCGATACCCTGGGATTTCTCTTGCATAAAGCAGTTTATTTGATGGAGAATCCTGTGTACACATTAAATAAAATGAGCACGTTTAAACCCGGGTCTACAAAGTCATCCGAATACATTCTATTTAATTAGAAATGTAACTTACCTTTCCCAGGACATGCTCAGTCACAGAACAGGAATCCATGAAAAGCTTTAAACAAAGACACAGAGAGAACGATGAAGGAAAACAGTTGCATCACATCACAAAATGAAACGAAGACAAAGGATATCCACAAAATTGTCCAAATTCAAAGCATGCCCAGAAAACGCCATTGCTCCAGTGTGACTCATCTGCGGTGTTGCTAACAAACACACAATCAAAACCAAATAAAGGAAAAGAAGAATCAATCACTGCATTCTAACCTGTGCTACAACAGACAAGCAGGAATCAACTATTCCAGACTTGCAAACATCAAAAATGAAGTTTGGATTCTTGATTATGTTGATCCAGAATCTCAGCGGCACACTGCAAAGTAAAAACAAACATGTTAAAACACAGCAGTAGCAACATAAAGAACTTGGGGGCACAATTAGCAACAAGTGGTCTTATACCAGGTCCCTTCACCTTTTCCAAGTTAACCATAACAGAGCTAACGTAAATTTAGTGGTAATCATAGCATCATAACATTTCTCAAACCGCGCAACATTATGACGTAAAACGTTTTCTAGCAAATATTGTTTCTCTCATTTACATAACGTATAACATCGGAATCTATTACACAGAAAGTGTTAATGCATCAGGCCCAAATGTCTTGGGACAAATAATCCTGCTTTGTCTTCACTGATAAGCAAGAATTTCAATCAAGCACTCAGCAAAATGAGGCATTTCGTGTCGAGGCAACACTTCTTAGCTAGATCTTATGAGATCTCTTGTTACCTGTTGTTTTTCCAAGTGTGCAACACTTCAGTATCTGTAAGGTTGAGTTCCTTAGCTTGTGTATCAAGAAGGTCGAACAGAAACTTGATAGCTGGAGGTAAGCTGCAGCCACGACGATACTTCATAAAAACAGTGCGGAAAAGCCGATCTACAAACTGCTGCAGGGTACCCTGTCAAAGTCACTCAAAGTCAAACTGAAAACCATGCAAAGTGTTTCACATTTCGAGAACACTGACACAATATCATCAAATTGTGACGAGTTGTGATAAGAAACAACAGCGTCAATCAATTTCTGCACATACATACAAGATACAACAAAAGAACTGGGAAAAACAGACGTGAAAGAAGCATGGTACTTGTGCTACTCGTCACATCACGAGTCAGTTGTTTTGATCATCAAAGTGTAAGCCTGCCTAATTTAGCTTCCTGCGTATTCCCAGCCAAAAATAATGTTAAAATTCTAGCTTTAAAGCCTATGTTGATAACGATTTTTTTTGACAGTTTAGCTAACACTGAATATACCAACCGGAAGTAATATTTCTTTGTCATTTTTTTTTAGAAAAAACCCAGAAGTCAAGGGTCAAGTTAGAGTTACACTAGCCAGCCAGGCCACACTACTGGAGCTTATCCTGATTCCAGTACGCAGTAGGAGTTACTGTTCCTCTTGGATGGGACACATTTTGTCAGGTTTTCTACTACGAGATGCTTGGTACCTAAAACGTTCGGGAGGAGTGAGGCACTACAATAGTTGGGCGTGATTCCCAACAACACAAACAATACACCTTGCAAGTATTCAGCACCGTGTCATTCGTTCTATATATGACAAAGACAGATTAATGTGATGCATACAACAGTACTACTGAACATTTGTGTGAAAAGAGCGAAAGAAACACAGGATGGTGAAACTTACCTTTGTTTTTAACAATCTTGTTAAATAAATCTCTGACAAGAATTTGCTGTTGCGATCATCTTCAGCTCTGTCAGTGGGGTAATCCATTTGTTTAACCTGTAGCACCCAAACACGCATATTCGCTCTCGATTTCTACTTAAACAATAGAGTGTTTCTGTCGAGGAACTATCGGCTGATAGTTGCC